GAACATTTCCAGAAACCTGTTAGTGGATTCTCAAGACATTGGCCAAAAGTTACCCACTGAGTCTGACTTTCCCTCCTTTCAGATGTTGTCTCCTGTTAGTCCCACCCAAGGCTTGTAGTAAAATTTTCTCTCTCAGTCTGAGTTCCATCCTTTTAGGCCCTTCCTCTGCCCTCCCTCTATCCCCATGAATACAGAAAGGGAATCACAAAGCTCTCTCCTGGGCTTCCCATACCACAAGTCAGGCCCTCAAGGAGCAGCTTAAGTTCCTTTCCCTTGGGTGTAAATGGAATCCACCCAGTCTGTAGAAATCTAGGCCTAGTGACCCTGGCAAGACCTTTCCTCTTTTCATGTAATTTTATCATTTTTACTATGTCACTCACTGGCTCAAAGCACTTGGGCATAAATATTCTGAAAGCTTCCAACTTAGCAAACCCTATGCTCAACTACACTATAGGGAAAACAGATGAATAAGACTCAGTCCCCACCCTCCTTGAGCTCACAGCCTCACTGAGAATAACTTTAGAAGTCAACAAGAGACTGGAAAAGCCTTAGCCTTCACCTCCCACAGAACCTGCAGCAGGCATACATGAAGGAGGGTGTCAGTTCCCTGGCAATCCTGTGCCTGCTGTCTGGCCAGTGCCTGCTCCAGGTGCTGCTAATCCAAGTCAGAAATTGCCATGAGGCTCTCTGTGCATCTCTTTCTAGTAACATTTGCTTCCTCAACAGGCATTGTGTGTCAAACTGTAGAACTATAGAGGGTCTGAGATCTCAGAGTGCATGGCATAGAATGAATGTCCTGGTGGAGAGGGATCTTTGGACATAGAAAAGCAGAGCTGGCAAGGCCCATAGACCATTAAAAAAAAGTTTGTCAGACTTGAAAGGGATCTTAGAACATAGAACATGTGCTCTGGAAAGGACCTCAGAAGGTAGAATTTGAAAGCTGGGAAGGACCTTAGAACACAAGTTATATAAATGTTAGAACAGAAAGGGACCTTGAAGGTCAATCTAGTCCAACCATCTCATTTTACATATGGGCAAAATGAAGGTGCAGAGAAATGAAATGATCTACCAAAGCTATTAAACAGCAGTCAGGAATTGAACCCAAGTCTTCTGACTTTAGTCCCTCTAGTTCTGTCCATTATACCCCATCTGCCACCATTTCTGCTATTTTCCTTTCATAGATAGTTCTCCCTTCTTTCTCCTATCAAAAATCTTCATAGTTCAAATGCCACCTCCTTCAGGAAGTCCTCCCTGACTCCCTCCCCACAAAATCCACAGGGATCTCTTCTCTCCTTTCAGCTCCTATGGCATGGACCCTCTGTGCCTCTGTGGTGCACAAAGCCCAGAGGTCTTTGGTGCCAGATGTTACTCATCCAGTAGTAAGACTCCTTCACATCTTGTAGAGCTCAAAGGTCGACAAAATACGTTAATCCAGTCACTTGTTTATCTGTGTAAGTCTTCCCTGCCCAGCACAGTGATGACTGATTCAGGGGCGGGGACAAGGCCCTCTTCTGTATCCCCACAGGACATTGCACATGGTGAGTGCTCTGCAAATGTGGGTGGATTTGACCCTGAACAGACTTTTTAAAAAAGTTTCAGGAGAAGAAACGTTAGAACAGTTCCAGCCTTGTGTTTGATACTGAGTCACTGCATTGCTTTGAGCAAATCATTTAACCTCTGGACCTCAGCATCTTCCTTGAGAAATAGGGTAGCTGATGGACCATTGATTGATCTATGTCTCCTCCAGATGTGACATTCTGTGTTGTTTGTTCTAAGGCTCCTCCCAATTCTGTTATTCTGTTTTCAGTGTTCTAAGGTTCCTCCCAGATTGGGCATTCTGTTATTCTGTGTTCTAACCATCCTTCCAGCTCTGATATTCTAGCTACAACATTTTATGTTCTAAGCAGAGCTATGACTATGAATTCTTGTACCTGGGTGCAAATTCATTTGTTGGGGAGCAGGAGGAAGATGATGGTCTAGAGGACAGTCCAAATACAAATGTAGCCAGAGAGGGTATGGCCATATAGTTTGGGCTGAGCCCCATCGGGGTGAGGGTGATAGCAAACCCCAGGAGAGGGATACCATGAAAAGAGTTATAGAGGGTCTGAGACCTTAGAATTCATAGCATAGAATAAATACCCTAGTGAGGAGGGATCTCCAATAGTTGAAAGTCCAATGGTTCAGGCCTGGTAGAGGTGAGGCAGGGCAGTTAGGTAGCATAATGGATAGAGTTCCATGCCTGGAGTCAGGAACACTCATCTTACTAGCTGTGTGATCCTGGGCAAGTCACTGTACTCTGCTTCAGTTTCCTCATCTGTAAAATGAACTGGAGAAGGAAATAGCAAACCACTTCAGTATCTTTGCCCAAGAAAACCCAAAAAATGAGTCACAAAGAGTCAGACACAACTGAAAACAATTGAGGTGTGGCACAAAGATGGTAGTCATTATGAGGAGGAAGTGCCCCACCCCATGTTGATTCTGGTTGATTCTAGTATGGTCTGGTTATGGTTATGGTTATAAGGTCTCTTCCAACTCTAATGATGTAGGGTCTCAAAGAATCTCCAGCACAAGGGCTACATGGAAAGATGCCAGAGGTCCATAGAAAAGTCCACCTCTTCCTGCCCAAACAGCCAAGGTGGGCGAGGGTGGAGGGAACCCAGTTCTCTCATTTTCAGCCTCAGACTCATGTGACAACAGCCAATGCAGGGTGTCTCTAATGTAACTTTTGAAGAAGGATGTTAGGAAAGAAAATAGTTCATTTTTTCCAAGTCCCCACCCTGTAGTTCAGATGAGGACCAAAATAGCATCATTGAGCTGTTTCATCTATCCTTGTAGCCTCTCCTTCTTCAGCTGCAGGCTTCCCAGGCCAAAGTGGACCATGCTCGGTTTTAGTGCCTTCCAGGGAAGATTTCTCAACCCCTCTTTTATCAGTCAAGATGTACTTTCTTCTCTATGACCTAATTATGACAAAACTTGCTCTTTCTTTATCACTTGACAATTCACTTCCACCAGTTCTTCACTCACAGAACACATTGTCATATCACCTTAAGGGTTACAGAGCACTTTCCTCAAGACACCTCTCGGAAAGAGATAGTACAAGAATTACTTCTCCATATTACAGGTGGTAAAACTGAGTTTTAGGGAAGTTAAGTGAATTGCTCACATAGCCGGTAACTGTCACAGCTGGGATTTGAACCTGGATCTCCTAGTTCTAAATCCTTTGCTTCATTTAGGCTTTATCACAATGCTACAAGGTAGGTGGTGTATGTATTAATGTTCCCCATTCCTCAGAGGAAGAAACTGAGGCCCAGAAAGAGGAAGTAACTTAACCAGGGTCATCCAAGTAAAGAGTGAGTGTAGTAGAGTAGAAAGAGAGCTCTCTCTGAACTCCAGTCATGCTATTCACTACCTATGTAATCTAAGGTGATTACACCTTATCACCTTCCTGGGTCTTAGTTTCTCAGCACTGCCTACCTCACAGGGTTTTGATGAAAACGATTTGTAAGCCCTGAGGAGCTACCCCATTGGAAACTTTTGATATTCAGGCTGTGGGAACGTTTCAGAAGTGGGAGGATTTTAAAGGAGAATTCTAAGCTAGGTATGGTGGTGCAGGCCTATAATTGTTGCTACCAAGCAGGCTGAGGCTGGCAGAGCCCTTGAGATGGGAACCAGACTTGATAAGGTGGAGCCGAAGCCACTGGGCTGCCTGAGGAGGGGCTGAACAGTCCAGATCAGAAATGGAGCAGTTCTGAGCTCCTGCTCATAGCAGTAGTGGGATCAAGTCTACGAGTGACTGCTGTGTGAGATGGCTCCCCTTAGAGCTGTCCTTGAAGACACCAATTAATGGACTCCCTTTCTAGTATCTAAGCAGCAAGGCCATTTTTGCTTCCTGCCATCAGAAAACCACTGACTGTTCCACTTCCACTCTCTGTATTGGTTACTTTCTTTCTCTTTTCAGTGTCCTGTTCATGCCCCCTGGCTTTCTGTTCCACTTCATCCTCTGATACCTGTTGTTTGACCTTCATTTTTGAAGAGAACCGGTGACGTCATGGGGTGATGTCTAGACTTGTGTGTGAATTGGATTTAAGTGAGGCAGAGCTTCGCAAAGTCGTCAGCCTCGCTCTTTCTTCCTGAGTCATTGAAGCTCAGTGGCAGGACAAAAGTCAGGATGATTGCTGATGGCCCAGGATGCAGCACATGACCTTGGTGTCTACAGTGCCTGACCAAGCTCTAAGTGCTCCACAGCCCTTGCTTCAGCCATCTTCATGGGCATTGGAACAAATCATTCTCATCTGCCAGAGAAAGTCTTCACATGCTTGGGGTGGATATCCCCCTAACTCAGTTAACCTCAGCCTCCTTCAGCCGGTCTGCCAAGATGGTTTACCAGAGTGTGGCCGCTGCACATACTACAGCTTCCTGGAGCCACAGGTAAGAGTTGGGTGAATCAGGTGGACCCCAAAGGTGGATAAGCAGCCCTGAAGAGGGCTAATGCCTAGATTTACTATAGCAGCAAAGTGGCACAGTGAATAGTATCTTGGACTTGGAATCAGGAAACCCTGAGTTCAAGTCCTTACTAGGTGTGTGACCTTGTTCAAGTCACATCATCTCTCAGCCTCAGTTTTCTGAGCCGTAAAATGAGGGATGATAATTGCACTTATCTCTCAAGTGTGTTATGAGAGATGAATGGGATACCATGTAAAACACTTTGAAAACCTAAGGTACTATGTAAATGCCAGCTATTTGCCATGCTCACCCTTGGTTATACAGTTATTTGAAGAGCCTGGAAGTGGTGAGGTAGATTAAATCTCAAACAGAAAGCAATAACTACAGCTAGCATTTCAAGAGCAGTCCAGCCTTGGTCTGGCACATGGCCTTCTGAATAACAGGCTTACCTGGGGAATTTGCCAAGCAAAGAGAAAATAGATCCCCTGTACCCGGTCTTCCTCTGTTCCCATCTTGCCAAACAGGACTACAAAAACCAAATGAAGCAACTAACTCAGTAATCTCAAAGGTTTTTCTTTACCAGCTCTACCTACACTTCATGGTGATAACAGAGTCAGGATTCAAACCCAGGGCTTCTGATTCCAAATCTGCCTGTAGCTTCTCCCCTCTAACCTAAGCTCTTCATGGTACAGTCCAGGCCTGTGTTTTCTTGGAATGTGTTCAGCAGGGATAGGTTAGTTCCCCTCCCCTGAACTAAGCACAAACATCTGGCATACCCTCTAACTCATTGGGCCTCTGTGTAACTACAGGAAACTTGATGCTGACCCATGTCACATAGCCAGCCATATGCCTGTTGGGATCAGAGAAAAACATGTGGAAGATTGGATCTGAGGTGCGGTTTGTAGCTGGAGCTAGAACTGGCATTGAGGCTGAAGCGAAACTTCTTGTAGGAGCTGAAGTGCCTCCCTCCCCCGCTCGGTAGTTACCACAGTTCAAAGCTGGCTAAGACCAGAAGAAGGCAGGAACACTGTCTCTGGGTCTTGGGCTTGTCTCCTGTCTCAGGGAACTCCTTATTCTGGAAACAAAGAACAAGAAACAGCTGAGCAAATTTCTGTTTTGTTGGTTGTTACTGGGTGACTTTCTCCATGCCAGGGAAAGAAAAAAGTGACAAAAGATCCAGGATCTACAGGTTCACAGAAGAGGGACCTGGATCTGAAGGTGCCTACAGTTCCTGTTCTTTTGGAGAGATGATAGAAAGGCAGATGATCTGGGGAGAAATGTGAAGGGGAGGGTTTCTGTATATTGTGCAGAAGGAGAAATGAGTAAGATGGTAGCTTCTCCTAGAGCTAGTTCTATTAGACAAGTCTGCTAAAAGCAAATGTAATGGTCTCAGCCCCTCTTAATGCAAATGAGATATGGAAAAAGCACTGGACGAGGAGGTAGGAGACCTGGACTCAAGATCCACCTCTGTCACTTACCTTAGTGACCTTAGGCAACTTATTTATTTTTCTGGGATTTTCTCTTTCCAAAATGAGGGGCTAATAAATAGCTCGCACTGCCATAATGCTTTAGGTTTAGCAAAACACTTTGCATATCTTACATTCCTTGTTTGTTCCTCACAACAGTTGTTGGTGAGGTAAGTTCAACAGTCGTTATTTCCATTTTATAGTTGAGGAAACAGAGGCTCAGAGAAGTTAGCAAGTGTCAGAGGTAGGACTCAAACCCTAGGTCTTTTCTAATACCTCCCCAGTCCAGTTCAGAAGTCCACCAAAATAAAATCCCAGAAGGAGGGGCAGGGGACCAAGCTTTTGGACCCAGAGTTTGGACACATCATTCTGCCATATCTGCCCATGTGGTTCCAAAATGGAGAATGAACACCCTATTCCAGCTTCTCTCTCATGGAATTCTCCAAAAACACAGAACCAGAGATCCGACTTCAAACAGTGGTCACCTCAAGGATAGGTCTTTATGAGTCTCATCTCCATAGCAGTGCTCTCAGGGCAGGGAGCCTGCAAAACTAGTTTTTGTATGATGTATGATTTTTCTTCTCATAGAATTGACAAGGACACCCCTAATCAATTGACTTTCTACCAGCTGATATAATTGTAGATGTTAAGGGGTCAGGTTAAGAGAGACAGAGAGGTACGAAGGTCTTAAACAAAGTGTAAAGGGTACCTAGGTAGTGCGGTGGATAGAATACCAGGCCTAGAGTCAGGAAAACCCAAGTTCAAATCCGACTTCAGACACTTACTAGCTGTATGACCCTGGGCAAGTCCCTTAACTCTGTTTGCCTCAATTTTCTTATTTGTAAAATGAGCTGGTGAAGGAAATAGTCAACCGTTCCAGTATCTCTGCAAAGAAAGCTTCAGAAAGGGGTCATGAAGAGTCAGATGTGGCCGAAATGACTAAACAACAACAAAGGCTTGGTCGCCCCTTTATGTGTCCAGACAAAACTGGCAGAACTTGAGGGCAGCTGGCAATAACCAGCTAGACAAGCTAGGGCTCAATCATCCCCTTAGTGGCCCTTTAAAAAAATGGAATACACTTTCCAGGGAGCCAGTGGAGAGGTGAGGCCAGAGCTAACTCTGAAGACTGTAACCTCTGAGTCCCTTCTGGTTACTGGGACAGGGACTTCCCAGGAAGTAATCCACCAGGTAGAGACCCTGCACCCAAGGGAAGCAGCATGAGGACATCATGAGAAATAAAAGAGTACCAGGGCCCTGGATTATTGAAGGTGTTAGTTGCCTAAGCCACATATATTCCTTAAGTGTGTGCCTGCCTTTCTACCAGCATATTTTATATAAGTGCCCTTTCTTTCTACTGATGGTATACACAGCTATGGGAGAACACACCCTAGGTTTATGGGGGAAACTTTTTTATCAATTAATTTATTTATTTATTTTTAGTTTTCACAAGATTTTGAGTTCCAAATTTTCTCTCCATCTTCTCCCACCCCAAGACATCATGCATTCTGACTACCCCTTCTCCCAATCTACCTTCCCTTCTCATATCCCTTTCCCCTTCTATTTTCCTGTAGGGCAGGATAGATTTCTATACCCCATTGTCTATATATCTTATTTCCTAGTTGCATGTAGAAACAATTTTGAACATTCATTTTTAAAACTTTGAGTTCCAAATTCTCTCCCTTCCTTCCTCCCCACCCACCCTCATTGAGAAGGCAAGTAATTCAATATAGGTTATACATGTGTAGTCATGCAAAACACTTCCATAATAGTCATGTTGTGAAAGACTAACCGTATTTCTCTCCCTCTTATCCTAGCCCCCATTTATTATATTCTCTCCTTTGACCCTGTCCCTCCTCAAAGGTATTTGCTTCTGATTACCCCCTCCCCCAGTCTGCCCTCCTTTCTATCATCCCCGCCTCTTTTATCTCTTTCCCCCTTATTTTTCTGTTGGGTAAGATAGATTTCCAAACCCAATTGAATGTGCATATTATTCCATCCATAAACCTAATCCAATGAGAGTAAGATTCACTCATTCCCTCTCACCTCCTCCCTTTTCCCCTCCATTATAAAAGCTTTTTCTTGCCTCTTTTATGTGAGATAATTTACCCCATTCTACCTCTGTTTCCCTCCCAGTACAAGCCTCTCTCACCCCTTAATTTTGTTTTTTAGATGTTATCCTTTCATATTCAATTCACCTTGTGCCCTTTGTCTATATATATTTTCCCTCCCTCCAACTACCCTAATACTGACGAAGATCTCATGAGTTACAGATATCTTTCCATGTAGGAATGTAAACAGTTCAACTTTAAATGATTTCTCTTTCCTGTTTACCTTTTCATGCTTCCCTTGAGTCTTGTATTTGAAAAGTCAGGTTTTCTATTCAGCTCTGGTCTTTTCATCAAGAATGCTTGAAAATCCTCTATTTCATTGAATATCAATTTCTCCCCCTCATTGATTACACTGTTTTGCTGGGTAGTTGATTCTTGGTTTTAATCCTAGCTCCTTTGACCTCCAGAATATCATATTCCAGGCCCTGAAACCTTTTTTTGCTAATGTTCTTAAGATTTCATTTCAGTAAATACATTTGCCTTGAGCTAATTGTGTTTATTAGCTGACATTTCTTTCTCCTGTTTGTGCAAATACATTTTAAATACAAATAATTACAGGCAGATAGTATAATTTTACTTTGAAATAAAAATTTCATCCTAATATCATTTGACACAGCTTAGTCCTTCAAGGTATTCTTAAATTCTTTAAATTCCATTCCTTATAGTGTTAAAGGTAAACATACAAGTAGAAGCTAGTGAGCTATATTTTTTTAGGAGTGTAGATGCACAGAGTACCTTAAATCTGAGACTAGTCACCCCCCCCCCAAGCAACACAACCCTTGAATTTGAGTTGGGGTACAGCCCAGAATTCTACATAATCAACATAGGAAGCCCCCTAAAGAGTGTGATGTAAGAAGCATTTTCTGCTTTAAACATCCTCTCTTTTCTCTTCTACTGGCATCTGATGATCTGTGACTATGGATTCCTTTCCTCTCCCACCTGAAATTCCCATCATTAGAGTCATTTGCCTGGGTCAGATTGAAAAAAGCAGGAGGTTTCTATTTGGCAATACAAAAGCAAACAGGAGTTTGGGAACCAGGATGTTAGTCTTGGCTCCTCAACTAAACAACTATGTGACCTTAGACAAGTCATTTCCTCTTTTGCCTTTCAGCTTCCTTCTCTGTAAAATTAAAAGGTAGGGGGAGAATTGGACAATTTCTGAGAATGCTTCTAACTGTAACATTTTAGGACCCTTTTGTGATCCATTGGGGGGATGGGAGGCAAGAGGTGGCCTTCCTTCAGCCCCTTCCCATTCATTAGTAGAGGTCAGTTTGTCTAATAGCTAGTTGTCACTTTGGGAGCTGCAGGCATTCCCAAGGGGGTTAAGATGCAGGATAAAGGAGTTTCGGTTGAGAGTCAGGAATGGGGAGGAGGACAAAGGTTTAGAGAAGGAAGTAGGAAAGAGAGCTCCAGCCTGCCAGAGCTAGAAGGAATTTTAAAATTCAGTCAGTCCAGCCTCCTTACTTTCAGACTGAGGAAATTGAGACCCGGAGAGATGAAGAGACCACAACAATATGCCTTATTGAGTGGGCAGTCGTCATGGGACACCCAGAGCAGGCATCAAAGCATCACGAACTCAAGGTCTCCTTCACAGCATGATTTGAGCTGGAGATTTCCAGTCATTTGGAAACTCTTCAATTGGTGAAAGTCTTGTCTTTGGGCCACTCACGCAACTAGAGAAAAGGCTTTGGAATGCAGGCAATGTGAGAGGCAATGTACAGATGTCGGAAGGCATGCAAGACTGAAAGTCCTTTTAAGAAAAGGCAGACATGCCAGACTGGCACAGTGCAAAGAGCATTGAGCTCAGAGTTAGAAGAAATGGGTTCCAATCTTAGCTCTGCTACTTTTTATTTATTTATTTTTTAAATATAAATTTATTTATTTTTAGATTTCAACATTCACTTCCACAAGTTTTTGAGTTCCAAATTTTCACCCGATCTCCCCCTCCCCCCACCCCAAGATGTCATGCATTCTAAATATCCCTTCCCCTAGTCTGTCCTCTCTTCTATCTCTCTCCCCTTCTCTTATCCCCTTCCCCTTCTATTTTCCTGTAGGGCAGGATAGACTTCTATACCCCATTTCCTATATTTCTTATTTCCCAGTAGGATGTGAAAACATTTTTTTTAAACATATGTTTTTAAAACTTTAGGTTTCAAATTTTCTCTCTTCCTCCCTCCCCACCCACCCTCATTGGAAAGGCGAGCAACTCAATATAGGTTGTAAATATGCAGTTATGCAAAACACGTCCATAGTAGACATGTTGTGAAAAACTAACTCTATTTCCCTTAATCCTATCCTGCCCTCCCATTTATTCTATTCTTTCTTTTGACCCTGTCCCTCCTCAGAAGTATTTACTTCTGATTACCCCCTTTCCCAATCTGCCCTCCTCTCTCATCCCCCTGCTCTCTTGTCCCCTTCTCCCCCTATTTTCCTGTAGGGTAAGACAGATTTCCATACCCAATTGAATGTGTATGTTATTCCCTCCTTAAGCCAAATCCTATGAGAATAAGATTCACTCATTCCCTCTCACCTTCCCCTGTTTCCCCTCCACTGTAAGAGACTTTTCTGGTTTTTTTTGTGAGATAATTTACCCCATTCTACCTCTCCCTTTCTTCTTCTCGAGTATAATCCTCTCTCATCCCTTAATTTTATTCTCCAGATATGACCCCTTAATCTTCAGCTCACCCTGTGCCCTCTATCTATCTATCTACATATACATACATATAATTTTTTCCTCCAACTACCCTGATACTGACAAAGGTCTCATGAGTTATAAATATCATCTTTCCATGCAGGAATGTAAACAGTTCAATCTTAATAAGTCTTTTATGATTTCTCTTTCCTGTTTACCTCTTCATGTTCCACTAGAGTCCTGTATTTGAAAGTCAAATTTTCTATTCAGCTCTGGTCTTTTCATCAAGAATGCTTGAAAGTCCCTATTTCACTGAATGACCATTTTTTCCCCTGAAGGATTATACTCAGTTTTGCTGGGTAGGTGATTCTTGGTTGTAATCCTGTCTCCTTTGCCCTCCAGAATATTATATTCCATGCCCTGCGGTCCTTTAATGTAGAAGCTGCTAAATCTTGTGTTATCCTGATTGTGTTTCCACAGTACTTGAACTGTGTCCTTCTGGCAGCTTGTAATATTTTTTCCTTGACCTGGGAACTTGGGAATTTGGCTACAATATTCCTAGGAGTTTTCCTTTGAGGATCTCTTTCAGGAGGAGATCTGTGGATTCTTTCCATTTCTATTTTGCCCTCTGGTTCTAATATATCAGGGCAGTTTTCCTTGATAATTTCTTGAAAGATGATGTCTAGGCTCTTTTTTTGATCATGGCTTTCAGATAGTCCATAATTTTTAAATTCTCTCTCCTGGATCTATTTTCCAGGTCAGTTTTTTCCAATGAGATATTTCACATTGTTTTCTAATTTTTCGTTCTTTTGGATTTGTTCTACTGTTTTGTGATTTCTCATAAAGTCACTATCTTCCAATTGCTCTATTCTAATTTTTAAGGAAGTATTTTTTTTTCTGCTTTTAGGCAGTTGGGGTTAAGTGACTTTCCCAGGGTCACACAGCTATTAAGTGTCAAGTGTTTGGTCTGAGGCCGGATTTGAACTCAGCCTCCTGACTTCAGGGCCGGTGCTCTATCCACTGTGCCACCTAGCTGCCCCATGGAAGTATTTTCTTCAGTAAGCTTTTGGACTTCCTTTTCCATTTGGCCAGTTTTGCTTTTTAGGGCATTTTTCTCCTCATTGGCTTTTTGGACCTCTTTTGCCATTTGGGCTAGGCTTTTTTTTAAGATGTTATTTTCTTCAGTATTATTTTGGGTCTCCTTTAGCAAGCTGTTGACTTGTTTTTCATGACTTTCTTGCATCACTCTCAGTTTTTCCTCTACTTCCCTTACTTGCTTCTCAGGATCCCTTTTGAGCTCTTCCAAGGCCTGGGACTGATTCATATTTTTCTTGGAGGCTTTGGATGTAGGAGCTTTGACTTTGTTGTCTTCTTCTGGTTGTATATTTTGATCTTCTTTGTCACCAAAGTAAGATAATATAGTCTGACTCTTTTTGCACTGCTTGCTCATGATCCCAGCCAATTACTTGAGTTTTAAACTCTTTGTTAAGGTACAAATCTGCTTCCAATGTGGAGAGTGTACTGTCCTAAGCTTTTGGGGGTTTGTGTAGCTGTTTTCAGAGATACTTGTAGGGCCCTGTAAATTTTCAGTTCTTCCAAGGTGATATGATAAGGGGCGAGGTGTTTACTCCTTTCCTGGCCTGCGACTACAAGTACTCCTTTCTGTCCTGTAACTGTGAGGAGGGGTTTCTCTCCACAACCACTACAAGCTCCACCAAGCCAGTGTTCCTTCTCACCCCAGCACCACCATCCAGAACTGTGACCCAGATCCACACACGGGCAAAGCAAGAGATTCCTGCCTTAGCATTGGCAAAGAGATCCCTGCAATCCCTCTCTGATCAGCCACTGGATTCCCCCTCAATCTGTGGGCCGGAAGCTCGGGGAGCAGCTGCTCCCCCCAGGGCCATGCTCTTGGGGAATGGAGCTGAAACCCCGCCTTCCTTTCTCAGCACCGACAGAAACAGACTTTTTCCACTGACCTTCTAAGTTGTCTTTGGCATTGGTGGATTGAGGAGTCTGGAAACCTCCACAGTTGCCCGAGATTCAGTCTTCTGAGGCCTGCTCCAGGTTCGCTGCCGCCTGCGCACACACGCTGCGCTGTGCTGCGCTCCCAGCCTGGCACGATACACCTTTCTGATCAATCATCCAGGTTGTCCTGGGCTGGAAATTTGTTTCACTCTGTCTTTTTGTGAGTTCTGCTGCTTCAGAATTTGTTTAGAGCCAGTTTTTGAGTATTTAGAGGGGTTTGGAGGAGAGCTCAAGCAAGTCACTGCTTTCACTCTGCCATCTTGGCTCTACCCCCCTCTGCTACTTTTTACAGGTTGGAATTTGGACAAGTCACTTCCCTCTGAGACTCAGTTTCCTCATTTGTATATTGAGAGAATTAGAATAGATGATCTCTAACACTCCTTTAAATTCTAAAAACCCTGCCATCCTAGGATGAATGGCCAGGACCTAGAGATAGACAGGGATGGAACAAGGATATGAGGATGTCCCATTTGGGACCTAGGAGGAAGTAGGGACCAGCATGTGGTATGTGTAAGAAGTCTGGAAGAACTTAGCATGTCAGAACTGAGAAGGACATTGGATAGAGAATTTCAGAGCTGGGAGGATCATGTAGCCCACCTTTTATGGAGGAGGAAAAAGCATCCAGAGAAGAAAAAGAACTGCTTGACCCTAGAGTCTTGGGTAAGGCCTATGATAGGGCCTAAGTGGCTTCAGCTGAAAGGATGGGGAGTAGGCCGTCTAGGCTGTGATTTCCACCGGGAGCATACATTTTCCAGCCAGATTTGCTTTAAGGAAAATTTGAGGTCATTTGATTTTGCCTTTAAGGTCATTTGAGTTTGACTCAGCCCTTAAATTAAGCCAGTATCCCAGTTGTTTTGAAACACAGTCAAGCAGGAGGGAAAAATATGTTTTACTATTCTGAAACAGGATGTAGGCAGGCTGACCTTTCCTGGGCCATTCTGCACTGGGACAGAGAACGCTGAAGTGGTATCTCACTACCCACGTCGCCTCCCTCCAGACATTTTTCCTTAGGAAGAGGAGCTCCTGAGCAAGGCACAGAAGGTCTGACCCTAGCCAGAGGAGGACTGGCCCAAGAGCTGGCAGGCAGTTCAGGGCCAAGGAAGGTGGTTTTCTCTACGGACCAGAGAACCGGTAGGTGTGGGAAGAACTTGTCATCTCCAGGGTGCTTGCCTCCAAGGCTCAGGCACCAACAACTGTGGAGGAGTGGACAGAGCTCTAGATTTTGAGGTAGAGGGCCTGAATCTGATTCTTACGATCTCTGACTTTAAGCAAGTCATATTACATTTCTAAGCCTCAGTTTCCTACTCTGGAAAATGATCGAGGTGGATTAGGTGGTCTCTTGCATCCCTTTCAATTCAAAATATTATAATCTTATGTAGTTGGCCTCATAGGCTTGGTGTGTACTGATTAATAATAGCTAACATTTATATAACACTTTAAGGTTTGCAGTGTGTTTTTCAGATCTTACCTCATTTGATTCTCACAACAGTGAGAGACAGGTGCTAGTCGTTATTTAATAGTTGAGGAACCTGATGCAGACAGTTAAGTCACTTGCCCAAGGTCACGCAGTGAGTGTCTAGCTAATCAGATGCAATGATGTTGGATATGAACTCAGATCTTCTTGATTCCAGAGCTGCCTCTAAATTAGTACTTGAGGGCTTGCAGGGATGTGCTGGTAAATGCTTAACAACTAGCTCTCTGAAAAAATGGCTAGACAACTGAAAAAAAACCTAATAAATCAAACCCTGGTTCATAGCCTTTGCCAATTTGAGATATAAATGCTCATGCTGCAAATTTGTCAGTTGACTTTTGGAAGTCAGTTTAAGCTGGCTCCCTGCCTGGTACCCTTACCCCAGGGTGTCCTAGAGCCCTCTGGAACTAGTTCGCAAACACATTTTTCAATGTGAAGACATTTATACCTCAGAAATTGGCAAAGACTACAAATTGGAGCTCAATTTATCGTTTTGTTGATTGTCTAGACTCAAGAAAGTGATGGAGAAAATGTTAATGATTAAACTTAAAAATTTTCAGACCCTCACCCTTAACTAGGGCCTCCCCATTATCCCCACTGTGACATCCTCCCCCATCCCCTCAATCAATAAGCACCTACTGTGAGCCAGGTACTGTGCCGATTCCAGGTTTCTCTCTCCTGTGTCCCATTCCACAGAAAGGATCTGAGAAGCCAGCTACAATAATACATGAATATTCGGTTCAGTTCCACAGAGACATGCTTCCCAAAAGAGGTACAAAGTCCTTTCTCTTAGGGAGCTCACATAGGGGGGCACACGATAAGGACATTATTACAACATACATTAGCCATTAAGTGCCCTAGGAAGGATTAGTGCTGAGAGATCTTTATTCCCTGGGTGGTTAGAGATCCCAAAAGGAGTGACATTTGAGTTGGGATTTTTAAAAATAGACAAGAATTTGAGGGAAGGAGGTAGGAGCACATTCCAGCAATAGGAAACAGCAAAAGCGAATGTATAGAAGCAGGAATACTTGGAGTGTGTTCTAGTTGTCCATTTTGCCTGGGGTATGGTATGGACAGGGTAAAAAAGTATGAGATAAGGTTGGAAAGGAAGGGTGGGACCACACTGTTAATGGTTATGGAGCCAGGCTAAGGGTTTTGAGCTAGAATGACACGACAAAATCTGTGTATAAAGAACATTAATCTGGCAGTCATGGGGGGTAGATTGGAACAGAGAGAAGGAAAGTACTAATAACAATATTAACATGTATCCCAGGTATATCTGAGTTGTAATAGCACACAGTTAGGTGGGGCTTCATGGTTTACAAAGTTCCCTGTGAGATAGATGGTACTTCTTTTGTTATCCTCATTTTGAGATAAGAAAACTGAGGCTGAGAGATGGTTAATTTACTTGCCTAATTCACACACCTTGCTAGGGCAGATTCTTGAATTCAAAAGCAGATCTGGCTCATTCTAGGGCCCTTTCCATTAGTGTGTCCTAATGGACAGTGTCAGACTTGGAGGCAGGAAGCTCCTAGTTCAAATACTGCCTCTGATACTTATTAGCTCTGCGACCATTGTTGGCAGGTCACTTAACCACCTTGAGCCTCAGTCTCCTCAACTGTAAAATGGAGGCAATAATACCTATAGTATGGCAGTTCTCAAAGCAGGGTCTGAGGACCTCTTAGTGGTCACTAGGAGCCTCTGGGGAGGTTTGTGAGGTTAAAACTATTTTCATAATAATACTAAAACATCTAAATCTCTAATATGGTAAATATAAAGAGATATAAACACTGGCATGCTAGAATCAGCTTAGACTGGCTCTTGAGCTGATAATAAAATTTCAATGTAAGCATCTACACCTCAGAAATGCTACAAATCAGGACTTGATTCACTGTTTTGTTGATTGTCTATTTTTAAGAAAGTGATAGAGAAAATCTTAAAAATGCAGACTATACTTTCAAGTGTGTTGTGAATGCATTTTTTTTTGGAGAGTGGGTTGTTAAATATCTAACAGCACACTCTCCAGTAGAAACCCATTTAAACAAAAACTCTTTGGGGGATCTGCAATCATTTTTAAGAGTATAAAGGGATCCTGAGGTCAAAAAGTTTGAGAACTGTTGCTCTTATATTTACCTTACAGACTTATTGTGAGATTCAGATGAGATCATTACAGGCAAAGCATTCTGCACATTTTAGAGTGCTGTAACTGTCAGTTAGGATTATATTATAGTAACTCAGTAAGCAGTGGGGGAGGGCTTTTAGAGGTGAAGGAAGAAGGATGGAGAGAGCTCCCCAGCTCCCTGGAATTCCCACCAAGTGGGCCTATTCTGATCAAAGGCCAATCCTGATCAAAAATAAACAAATGCATAAATGGGAGTACTTTAGTGACCAAAGCAGTGTAGCATGACTGGTGGCTCATCTCTAGAATGAGATGGTGAGGGAAACTTTTTTTAAAAATAAATAACTAATTTACAAAATGATAATAAAATGAGGCAGTGGGACTAGTCTTGTCCTTCTCTACACCTGTGACCCTGGGATGCTGTGATTGAGTGCTGAGTTGAAGACCTGAGTTGACATCTCTATTCTGACACATAACTAGCATGGGGACCCCAACCACGTTACTTCTCTCTGTGCCGTAGGGGAAATTCCTAGGACTGAGCCGTTCAGTTCAGTTCATTCATTTTCGGTCATGTCCAACTATTCATGTCCTCATTTGGGGGTTTCTTGGCAAAGATACTGGAATGGTTTGCCATTTCCTTCTCCACTTCATTTTCTCTCATAAACACTGGACTTAGGGTCTAGTCTGGCCCTGCTACATGTTAGTTACATAAGTTTGCTCAAGTCCCTTCCCCTCTCATGGCCTCAGTTTCCATCTCTGCAAAATGAATCTATATCAACAGATGATCTCTGAGGTTCTCTCCACCCATAATAGTCTCTGTTCTAAGGGTCGTCCCAGCATGGATGTTCTCTATTTTGTGTTCTAAAGGAATTTTCTGTTGCTGATAATTGGTGATTCTGTGACTAGTACTTGACAGGGAGGCTCTCAAGGGTATTTCTGCGTGGTAGGGGACGAGGAGAAGGGGTAGATGACCTTTAGGTCAGTGTGGTGTGGTGTAATAGAAAATCACATGGCTTGAACTTTAGACCGAGGTCTAACCCTGATTTACTTTGTGATGTGGAACTTATTATTTAAACTTTCTGAGGTGGAGTAAAGTTGGAGGAGTTGAAGTCTAAAAAAACAATAATTCTTTGCAGGGTAAACTTTTGTAAGAAATTACTTTCATCATTATTGTGCTCTAACGTAAACTGAAAAGGAAAAAATTAGAAACCAAGTATAAGGTTGATGTGAATGCCCACTCCCAATATGATAGGCCTTATTTTTAAAAGTGCTTTAATGTTTGCAAAGCCTTTTCCCCATAACAGTCCAAGGACACAAATGGCATAAATGTTGTAACCCTATTTGTTTTTGCCAAACCCTGTGATTTCATTGGTATACACGACTCTCAGTAAAGAAACAGTCCCTGGGAATACTAGCCCATCATGGGCTAGCCAACTTGGAGTTTCTGTCAAAGGTAGGTCCAGAGCCCATGTCTTCTTGAATCCCATATTGGCTTCTTATTCACTATGCTGAAGTGTAAATGCTCACACTGAAAATTTAACACTCGGCTCTCTGGTCTCCAGCATACCGCTGGGAAAGACCCTGCCTCCTTTGTCCCCCTCAGTATGGCAAAGCACAACCCAGTACATTATAGATTAGAATCACAGACTCTCAGAGCTGAAAGGGACCTCGGGGGTCATCTAGTCCTCTCTCCCCCATATTTTTTTCAGAAATGCCTTTTACACATCCATGGTGAGGGGTCATCCACCCCCCCCCTTAAAAACCTGTAGTGAAAGGGAACTCACTACCTATTAAAAGAAGTCCATTCCTCTTTTGGACTGCTCTCACTCTTAGGAAGTTTTCTTTACATCAGGCTGACATCCGTTCCTCTTCAACTCCCCCAAGCTCCATGCTTTTAGTTCTACCCACTAAGGCCACACAAAAAAGATCAAATTATCTTTTTCATGACTGTCCTTTGAAGGTTTGGTGAATGAATGCATGATGTCTAATTGGCTTTTCTATGATAGCCCTTTACATTTGTAACTGAGTGAATACAGGATCGAATGCTAAAATACCCCTAATTGTCACAATGGACTTGACCTTAACAGAACAAATTTTAGAAATAGTTGTTTGTGGGGGCAAAAAAGGAGGGGGGGGGACCAACTGAAAACACTACAGACATGAGGCAGGAGCCAAGACCAGATCTATAAGTGGATCAAACAGACCAACTTTCAAATAGCTATCAAATATCACCAAAGAATCATAGGATTTAGAGCTAGAGGGGACCAAAGAACTTTGACAGCCTTAAATAAGTGCCCTAAAAATCTTGTTATTATTGTAGTGTGTGGTTTATACAGGGTGTCCCAAAAGTCTTAGTGCACTAAGATTGTGGAGGACATCCTATTTACACAGATGAACTCATTTGATCCTTACAACAACTCTATGAGGTGGTGACTACAGGAATTACTATCCCCATTTTTCAAATTAGAGGAATAGGTTCACAGGGGAGAAGTGACCTGCCCATGGTCTCATAGCAGATAAGAGTTTCCTGACTCCAGGAGTCCTCTTTCCTCTACCTCTGTCATGCTTCCTCTGCTAGAAGGAGGGGACCTTAGGGGATTGTCTAATAGGAGCCCTTCATTTGTCAAATGAGAAAACTGAGTCTTAGAGAGGTGAAGGGATTTGACCAAAAACACAGGGCTATTAAGTACCAAAACTGCAATTTGAACCGATGTCTTCTTCTTCTGAACCTTTCTACTACACTGGTCGGTCCCTGCCTGAAATTTCTTGGCTTCAAAACGCATTGAGGGCAGTGAAAGTCTTCCCTTTGAGCTCCATGACAGAACAACATCTTGTCCATAGGAAGCATGTAATAAATCAGAGAACCACAGACACTTTCTGAGTTAGCAGGGCCCTGAAAAAGTGTCAGGTCCAACACCTTCCTGAATTGGGATCACCACTAGAATCTCTCTAATATGTTATTATCTAGCCAGAAACCCAGGCACTAACTCTAGGGGCCTGTTCATGGGAAACCCATAGAGAGATAAGGTAGGAATACCCTTGGCGAAGATTCCTTAAAATGAGAACTCTAGGACAGAAGTGGCTATGTCAAGAGTCTTCAGTGGCTCCCTGTTATTTCTAGGATAAGTTCCTTAGCTTAGAATTTTTTTGGGGGTGAGTAGGAATTAAGTAACTTGCTCAGAGTCACACAGCTAGTAAGAGTCTGAGGTCAGATTTGAACTCAGGTCCTCCTGACTCCAGGGCCAGTGTTCTATCCATTGTGCCACCTAGCTGCCCCCAAGATATTTAAAGACCTTCACAAACTGACTTCAGCCTGACTTTCCAGGCTTGTTTCATATCAGTCCTCTCCTAGGATTCTACATTCCAACCAAATTTACCTAGGTGCTGGTCCCTGAGCTCGGTTTTCTATCTCCAGCCTCTGCCTCTTGGGACAATCTGTCCTCCACCTCTGGGATGCAGATCCCTAGTTTTAATTTTCTCTCCTTGTTCAAATTATCTTGTATAGATATATCTGTTAACATGTATCTCTCAATAAAATGTAAGCTCCAGGGACTTTTTCATTTCTTTGTCTTTCTATCACCAGCACTGAGCAAGATGCAGTATGCTTATGGGTACATACT